CTGCTGGGTACCTGTGCTGAACTCTAGTGCATTCCAGAAGACTGTCCCTATCCATGTTTCCTGGAGGTGGGGAGAACCCTGTGGGTACACTGCCCATGCAACCCCAGCTAGGTATTCTAATTCTTTCTGCAGTTAATGTGATTCTGGATGCAGAAACTGCCCACCCCAACCTCATCTTCTCTAATAACCTGAAGAGTGTGAAACTTGGAAACAAGTGGAATCGTCTGCCTGATAATCCAGAAAGATTTGATAGTTGCATCATTGCCCTAGGCCTTCCAAGCTTCCTCTCTGGCCGCCATTACTGGGAAGTGGAGGTGGGAAACAAGACAGGGTGGATCCTGGGCATCTGCAAGGCATCCGCGAGCAGGAAAGGGAGCATGACTCTATCACCCGACAATGGCTACTGGGTGGTGATGATGATGAAGCGGAATGAGTACCAGGTGTCCACCATTCCCCCAACACGCTTGCAGATAAAGGAACCCCCCAGACGTGTGGGCATCTTCCTGGACTACAAGGCTGGAGACATTTCCTTTTACAATGTAACATACAAATCCCTCATCTACACATTCACCAGTTTCTCTTCTTCTGGGCCCCTTCAGCCTATGTTCAGCCCTGGAACACATGATGGAGGGAAGAACATGGATCCTCTGACCATCTGTCCAGTGGGTGACCAGGGGACTCACTGAATGCCCAACACTTTGCATCTCTCTTCTGGATCCCAGCCTTGTATCTTGAATCTGTACACTCAATGGTCATTATTGAACACCTACTGGGTTCCAGCTGCTGTGGGTAATATAACAAAGAGAAGAGTGCCTGTGCCCAAAGAGCCTATGGAATGGTAGCAGAAATAAGCTGGGTACCTAAATATTGGTAAGCCAAGGGTGAAGAGAGCACATGTACTGATGACACCTCAGAGGAAGAAGTACATGGCTGATGCTTAATAAATCCTTGTATGAATTAGCACCCTAAGATGCCCCTAAGGCAGAGATCTCACCTTCATTTTCCCTCAGAACTCTATGGCAAGGATGTGTCGCTTCATCCTATCCCCCTGTTTCTTAAGGACTTGCAAAGCTGAGAAATAAAACAAGCAGACTGGATTGTTATATTTTTGTACCTGGATTAATGAGCTATGGATATTAAGAGTATTGGCTAGGCATCATAAATAAATCAATTAGAAAAGTTGGTCATAATTGCACTCAATTTGCACTCAATTTGTTGTCACTTAGTCAATCATTGTAAGATCCCATTTCCCTACTGAACACCATGAAAAAGATGGTGCTGCTATAGTGGGAAAAAATTTGACAAATATTCCAAGTATCAGATTTTTTAAAATTCTGTCCTGATCTGTATCTGAAAATCTATTCTAGTTCAAAGATATCCCCTCTATCATCCCCCATTTAAAGAGATGTAAAGAGAAAGGATGTAAGGGGAAAAAAGGAATCAGATGAAGATTAGGCTCCAAACCCCTCTTACCCCAACTCATCTTTCCATCTTCACACTAGAGTCTAGACTGGACTCAGCTTCTCCATGATTGTGGCCCTGGTTTCTTCATGGAGCTTTGTTCTATGAATATAATCCATACCCTGACAGAGTTCATGTGCTTTATTTGCTTAGCTGTTCCCAATTCTCCCTTGCTATAACCTTTCCAAGAGCAGCTTCCTGTATTTTTTCCACCACCTCCCCATACACATTTTTTTCTCCTGTTATTCCTAAAATGGCTCCAGAATGTGAACTATTTCATAACACTTGCTACAGTTGGTCATACAATCCCTCAGAAAGATTAAATAATGTTTTACGCCCAAAGCAATGTTTGTCATTTAAAATATTTTGCTCATCTGGGGCTCCTGGGTGGCTCAATCAGTTAAGCGTCTGCCTTCGGCTCAGGTCATGATCCTGGGGTCCTGGGATCAAGCCCCGCATCAAGCTCCCTTCTCACCGGGGAGTCGGCTTCACCCTCTGACCCACCCCCCTCTCGTGCTCTGTCTCTCCCAAATAAGTAAAATCTTTAAAAAAAATAAATTTTGGGGGGGGCGCCTGGGTGGCTCAGTCGTTAAGCATCTGCCTTTGGCTCAGGTCATGATCCCAGGGTCCTGGGATTGAGCCCCACATTGGGCTCCCTGCTCCGAGGGAAGCCTGCTTCTCCCTCTCCCACTCCCCCTGCTTGTGTTCCCTCTCTTGCTGTGTCTCTCTCTGTCAAATGAATAAAATCTTTAAACAATAATAGAAAATAAAATACAATAAAAAAGTAAAATTTATTGTTCATTCAATAGAGATATAATGGGGTTTTACCTATGTTTTAATTTATTTCATCATCTATTAGTGAGGCTGTGAATTTTCCATGCGGACTTCTATCTTTTGCTTCATTCCACAGAAACAGCACAGCTTCTTTGACTACTTGCTATGTGTAATCTAAATATTGAACTTAGTTGTCCGTAGTACTTCTTCAAAAGTATTTTATTATTTTTAAAGTTTTATTTATTTGTCAGAGAGAGAATACAAGCAGGGGAACAGCAGGCAGAGGGAGAAGCAGGATCCCTGCTGAGCACGGACCCCAATGCAGGACTCCATCCCAGGACCCTGAGATAATGACCTGAGCCAAAGGCAGATGCTTAACCCACCAAGCCATTCAGGCGTCCCTCAAAAATATTTTAGATACTAAACATTTGTATTTGTACATTGAAAATTTCCCTGTCTGGTGTTTCTTTTTTTAATTGAGTTATAATTCACAAACCATAAAATTCACCCTTTTAAAGTGTATAGTTAAATGGGTTTTAGTATATTCACAATGTATACAAACATCACCACTAAATCCAGAACATTTTCAAAACAAGCCCTGCGTCCATTGGCAGTCACTTGTCACTCTCCCCTTCCCCCAGCCCCTGACAACTACTACCATACTTTTTGTATCTATGGATTTGCCTATTCTGAACATTTCATGCAAGTAGAATCACACAGTATGTGGTCTTCTGTGACCGACTTCTTTCACTTGGCATCATGTTTTCGAGGTCCATCCATGTTGCAGCATGTATTAGTACTCATTCCTTTTTTATTGCTGAATAATAATCCGTTATATGGATATACTACATCTTGTTTAGCCACTCATCAGGGTTTTTTTTTTTTTTTTTAAGATTTTTGAGAGAGAGAGAGCATGAACGGGGGGCGGGCGGCAGGGGTGGGGCAGAGAGAGAAGCAGACTCCCCAGAGATTGGGGAGCCTGATGTGGGGACTTGATCCCAAGACCCTAAGATCATGACCTGAGCTGAAGGCAGATGCTTAACCGACTGAGTCACTCAGGTGCCCCAACATTAATGTTCTTTTGTCTTCTCTTATTGGTTATCAAATTCCATTTTTTTGTATATAGTATAAGGACACATTCTGTCTTTCCAGAAGAATAGACAATTTTTTGCTAGCACCATCTATTTTACACTAAGTTGAAATACTACCATTTCATATAGACCCAGGTACATTCAGATCAACTTTGGCACTTACTACTCTTTTCTACTGTTCTATTTATTTACTTCCAGTTCAAACCATACTGCTTTAATTGAAAGAGGTTTTTTTTTAAGATTTTATTTATTTATTTATTTGACAGAAAGAGACATACCGAGAGAGGGAACACAAGCTCGGAGAGTGGGAGAGGGAGAAGCAGGCTCCCTGCTGAGCAGGGAGCACCATGCGGGGCTCAATCCCAGGACTCTGGGATCATGACCTGAGCCGAAGGCAGACGCTTAACGACTGAGCCACCCAGGCGCCCCTGAAGGAGTTTGTTATTGTTTGCTTTGTTTTTGGTTTTTGATGTCTGGAAAAGCAAGTATCCTTAATTTTAGAAAAACTTTTGGTACCACACAGTTTTGACACTAGACTGTAACATATTTTAAACCATGGCTAAATGAGTCACCTATAGTTAGCGTTAAGAAAAAAAAAATCCATTCGTATTTTTACTTTGGTCACCCAGGTGGAACCTGGCGTTACATAGAGCAATAAAGCAATCCCTGCCCCAGGGTTGTCACAACGCTGATCAGTGCCTCACTGGGGAATGAACTGAGTATGGCAACAACGCAGAGAGACAGGGCGGTTCGGCCTCCCTGAGAGGCTGAGGACGGAAACGAAGGCGACTGGAGAAGGATCACTAGGATTTCTCAGAAAACAAGATGGCCCGTTCAGACTGCAAGGTAGAAGCTGGCAAGCGGGGAAGGGAAGGGTCACCCGGTTCTGACCTATGGGCCGCCCTCACCGGAAGGGACAGCTGTGAAAGGACCCAGAACCAGGCATACACCTTGATCCGCCACCCAACCACCGCTTCAGCGGTTCTTCGACCCACCCTGGATGCTGCAGCGGAAACAGCCGCAGCCTCTCGCGATCTTCCGGTCGCGAGTAGGCAGCCTACTTCCGGTCGAGCCCGGGGAAAGCGGGGTGGGGTGAGGGTGGGACTGTCCCGCCCCAACCGCCGCGCCTGGCGGCCTCCCATTGGCTGTTTGGAGCCGAACTACATTTCCCAGCAGGCCATGGAGCTACACCGCCAGTACCTGGAGAGGAGCCAGCCCGTCATGGAGGATTGGAGCCAAACTTCTGCTTTCCGTCTCCCAGATAGAGCCATAGAAACAGCGGTTGCCTCCAGCCTGTTCTCCCTCTGGCGCTGAGAGCTCTGCCTGTCGTCCTCGAGCATCGCCTTCTCAAGCGCAGCCTGCCGGCTCCGAGCGGGGAGACCAGGCTTCCGAACCGGAAACAAGGCACCGGTTGTGACGTATCGGCTACGGAGGCGCCCGGCTTCCCAGAAGGCACCGTGTCCTGGCCGTCCTCCCCAACTGACGGCTCCTCACGCCAATAGTCACCGGCGGCCTGTGAGGACACTCGGAAGGGCGAGGGGAGGGCTCGGCCTCTCGCGCCTAGTTTCCCGGTCTCTGCGCCAGGGTCTCTGGGCCGTCCCCTACGAGCGCCCGGGGGCGGCAGAGCCCCTGAGAGGTGAGGGGCTCCGCGAGGGCGGGAACCAGGCTGAGGTGGCCTGCGGGGAGCAGAGCTTGGTCCGTTGCCTGGGGAGCCTGGCCGGCTAGGGAGCCGGGAACGTACCCCGGGCAATGCCGCCGCCTGGGCTTTGTGTTAAAGGTACCCCTTGGCCGGTGGGAGAGGCTCCAGAGTGGGCCTGTTCAGCTGGGCCCCACTGTTTGGTCCCTCGCCGCTCTCAACAGGGCTTTCATGGCGGAAAGGAGTCAGCAGGTCGCGTATGGACTAATCGTGCGGCCTTGCGTTTGCTCCTTGAGCCATCAACTGCCCCCCGAAGGGCATCCGAGGGACCCGCGGTCCAAGGTGCGCAGTACGGCTTCATTTAATGGCTAGGCCAACTTCTAAGCAGATGCCCTTGGTACTGGATAGCAGGTTTCTTACCTTCTGGCCCATTGCTCTTCCCAGTGGAGTTTGCACTTCATATTTCTCAGGAGGATGATCCCTGGGGTTTGGATATCCTCTGGCTTTCGTTCTCAGAGCTTCCTCTCAGGCCTTGCTATGAGTGTCTAGTTCAGCGACCTTCCGTTTCAGTTAGGAGTTCCTCACACCAACTTATCTTTCCTTCCGCTTTAAATTTCACGTGGCCTCACTATCCTGGCCGTATATTGGACCTGGTTTTGTGGGTAAACCATGGTTTCTCTCATCTGCAGCTCGGCTCTCTGACAGATTTCCTTCAGTAAGAGGTGACTCCTGAAGCTCTGCAAAACGAGTGTGGTGTGTGATTGCAAGGCGTGATGGCTGCAAAAGTGGTTCCAATGCCCCTAAAGCCAAAGCAGTCCTTTATACTGAGAGTTCCTCCGGACTCCAAGCTGGGCCAAGACCTACTTCGAGATGCTACTAGTGGGCCCAAGACCATCCACCAGCTGGTTCTGGAGCACTTCCTCACCTTCTTGCCCAAGCCAAGCCTGGTCCAGCCCAATCAGAAAGTCAAGGAGACCTTGGTTATTATGAAGGATGTGAGCTCAAACTTTCAGAACAGACGTAAGGAGCACATGCTGTTTCGCTAGAAGAGAAGGGAATGGTACTAGGGGCTGAAATAGGTTTTTATGTTAGTAACGAATTCAAGTTAGGATAGTGGGTATTGAAAAAAGTTGATTTTAATGTCAACCTGTTGAGGAGAGGGAGTATTTTTTCTCAAGCTGGAGTTTGAGTGGATTGCTGGGTGTGTATAAACCCATAAAATAAACAGTGTCAGTTTTACCCAAACTTTGGGAGGGTGTATATCATTTTAGGATAAAGAAACGTGGATGAATTGTTGAATTGACTGCAGTTTATGTGGAATTTTGGAAATTTTGTGCATGTTGTGGGCATCTTCAGACATGATCCTCCTCCAGCCTTCCCTTGAGTAGTAATGGGAATTTTAAAAGTTCTTAAGATAATCATTCTTTTCATAATGAGGAGACCCTATATAGGTTCAAGACCCTGTGGTTTATGGCTTGAACTCTTCCTGGGCTCACAGAAGCAGCAAAAGCCGTAAGTTGCCTTCAGAAGGAGTGAGGACAGTGTGGCCTTAAGGTGTGGTTAGGGTTCCCATATTAGAGTCACTGATTTTTCCATTAACTACAGCTTCCTCTTTACCCAGTGCAACCTCATCCCATGGTGAAGCTTCTGCCCAGAGAAGGAATCCAGCAGAAACAGGACCCAGTGTCTCTGTATTTGAAAACTGAGCCTGAGGTGGGTTTGGTTTTCCCATTCACTGTTTTGAGTACATCACCTTCTCTGCTCTTTCAGCCCTCCCTGCTCAGCCAACCCATGTATAAAAACACACTCTTGGGGGGTACCTGGGTGGCTCAGATGGTTAAGCGTCTGCCTTTGGCTCAGGTCATGATCCCAGGGTCCTGGGATCAAGTCCCACATCGGGCTCCCTGCTTAGCAGGGAGTCTGCTTCTCCCTCTGCCTCTCTCTCTCTCTCTGTCTCTCATGAATAAAAAAATAAATAAAATAAAAACACACTCTTGGGAGTCAGTAGGAGAGTGGGCTTGTTTTTCACTGCCTCCTTGGCTATTTCTGTTCTGCTTGTCCTCTGGCTCCTCTCCGAGCCTGGCTCTCTGGTCCGTGCTGCACCTGCGTGGAGCTTATAGTCCCCTTTCACCTTCCCTTCCCTGATCATTGGGTTTCAGTCTTTTTTGCCAGCAGAGCTGTCAAAGAACCAAAGAACCTCTGTTATTAAGAGGAAGGGGGCCTAATTGCTCTTTCAGGAACTGGTGGTCCTTGAGGATTTGAATATATTTCATTCCCAAGAAGAATGTGTGAGCCTGGATGCTACTCAACAGCCCACCTCAGAGAAGGAAGACAATGTTGGGGAGATGATGTTACTGGGTAAGAAATCTTGTGTGTTCATATTGAATGCTGTGGAAAAAGCACATTGTTCTGTCAGACTTTTTATTTTTTTTATTTTTTAAAGATTTTATTTTATTTATTTGAGAGAGAGAGAGAGAGCACAGGAGAGGGTAGGGTGAGAGAGAGGAGCAGACTCCCCACTGAGCAGGGAGCCCAATGCGGGACTTGATCCCGGAACTCCGGGATCATGACCTGAGCCGAAGGCAGTCGCCTAACCAACTGAGCCACCCAGGTGCCCCTTCTGTCAGACTTTTTAAAGACCTGATTAACACTAGCTAAGTACATGGTCACACACATTTAATTTTTGTTCTATCCCATGTGGCAGAGCCTGCACCAGCTGTGGCAGTCATTTTTCCTATATCTTTAAGGCAGCAGGGGCTGAGGAGACTTGTCTCGGTAAGCAAGACCTGCAGCTGATGTACTGACGTCAGATATTCAAACAGATAGAAAATGCAGGCAGATTGTTTCTGAGTCCATTTTCTGGATTTAGTGCTAGTCCCCCAGGAGGTGTATTTAAATGTGTTTTCATTGGACCCAGGACTCTTTTAAGTCTTTTTTTTCCCCCTTGATGTCTAGTAGCTGTGAAGTCTACTAGTGTGAATGAAAATATATCCCATGTTGATGGCAATAATATCTAGCACTTATTAAGCACCCATGTGCCATTATGTACGAGGCACTAGTCTGTTTTGCATGCATTTATTATCACATACATTTTTCACAAAAGTACTGTAGAATATAGGAATTATTACTATTTTACAGATGACAGAACTGAAGCAGAAAAATGTTAAGAAATTGCTGAAGTTCGGGCAATCCTCTCAGGTCCCCTTCCTCTTCAGGAGCCTCGTACTATTGCTCAATAAACTTTGCTTTCCTTCCCACCAAAACACACACACACACACACACACACACAACACACACAAACACACAAACAGAAAAGAAATTGCTAAATGTTACAAAGCAGTAGGTAGCAGAGCAGGGATTTGGACTCAGAGATTCTAACATCAGAGCTTGCAGTCTTAGCCCAGAATTATACTGCCTTCTTGCTGCATTTCTCATAACTTTTTCGGTGAATTGCCTATATGGTTGGTGAATGGGGCCTTCTTCATTTGTGCTTATTTCCCAGTAATGGTTAAAAAGTATTGTTTTGTGAGACTACATATGAACTCATCTGGCAGCAGCTTCTCTGTAAGCTAAGAGATGATTCAGCCTTTTTCTACAAATGCACTGCTAACCTAGAGTCAGGAATCCTCAAAAATCATTTTGCTGAGTGCTTAATACTTTTTACTTTGCCTTCAGGGCTGTTTGCTTCTGAGGCTGAAGTGGAACAGAAAGTGGGTTTTGTGAGTTGCTGGGGTAACAAAAATCAAATCCATGACTGTCGAACTCTGTAGTTGTCTTACATTGTGTGGTCAGGGTAGTGTGGTACATAGCCTGCTTAATTTCTCAAGTTATTCTATGTAATATTTGTTTAAGATTTTGTATATTATAGGGTGCCTGGGTGGCTCAGTTGGTTAAGTGACTGCCTTCAGCTCAGGTCATGATCCTGGAGTCCTGGGATCGAGTCCCACATTGGGCTCCCTGCTCAGTGAGGAGTCTGCTTCTCCCTCTCACCCTCTTCCCTCTCGTGCTCTCTGTCTCATTCTCTCTCAAATAAATAAATAAAATCTTAAAAAAAAAGATTTTGTGATTATATATATATATGTGTGTATACACACGTTTATTTATTATTTTATTTTTTATTTTTTTAAGACTTTATTTATTTGAGAGAGAGAAAGAGAGCACATGAGAGGGGGGAAGGTCAGAGGGAGAAGCAGACTCCCCGCTGAGCAGGGAGCCCGATGCGGGACTCGATCCTGGGACTCCAGGATCATGAACTGAGCCACCCAGGCGCCCCTATTTATTATTTTATTTATTGTAAACTCTACACCCAACATGGGGCTCCAGCTTACGACCTGACAACAAGCATGCTCTACCAACTGAGCTAGCCAGGCAACCCTAATATTTTCTTATTTTAGAGATAAGCATAAACAGATTTATTACACTGAGTTTTTCTCAGTCTTGGGTAAAATTAGCATATATTTTAGGTGACTGGTTGGTGGGTATGTTGCCAATTCCAGGAACACTTTGGTCATGGACCTTGAAACTCTCAGGCCCAATCCTCACCCATATGCAAAAGCTGATGATTTAAACCAACATTTAATAAATGCTACTTGCTGTGTCCTTAAGTAGAGTTGGATTCTGGAGTTGATTATCAGTGGGTTCAAACGATACATAGTGCCCCATTCCTGCCCTCTAAAGCTTCCAATTTGTTTTTAAAAGATAAGTCGTTCACATAAAAAGATAAGCATTACAAAACCATTGTAGCTATAAAGGGTTATGATAAGATCAAGATAGGGTCTGGACCCAGGAGCAGAGTTTGGAAGAAGACAGATTTGATTTCAGATGAGATTGAATCCATGATAGGAAATAAAGTGAGATGATTTTCTGGGCACTTGAATATTAGGAATTGGAGGTCACATGTAAAGATGTAGAGATTTGGGAGTCATCAGTATATAGCTGACATTTGAAACAGTAACATTAAGTAGTTTGGAGAGGGAAAAGTGTAAGGGAATGAACCTTGTGGGGGCAGGAATCACAGGAGAATCCTTGGCAGAGAAGGATAAACTGTGTGTCTCAGTTCAAGTGAATCACATAAAACAACTGAAAATGCAGAAAGAACACTTAAATTTTCAAAGAGATAGTTTTCTGTGGTCATATCTGCCCTCTACTGTGCTAAGAGAATATGAGCCTTTTCAAGATTGATGCAGATTGACTACCTACTATTCAACAAAGTCAGACTCAATAGATTCCAAAAAGTAGAAATAACACAATAGGATCTATCACAGTGCAGTACAACTAGAAAGTAATAATGAAATTGGAAAAAAAAGTTCCCTTCACCAAGAAATGTTTAAACTATTAAGTAACCTTGGGTCACAGGGGAAATACAAATTAAAATTACACAATTTTTCTAGGGGCACTTGGGTGGCTCAGTCAATTAAGTCTGCCTTCAGCTCAGGTCATGATCCCAGGGTCCTGGGATTGAGCCCCATCTTGGGTTCCCTGCTCAGCAGGGAGCCTGCCTCTCCCTCTCCCCCTGCTTGTGCTTGCTGTCTCCCTCCCTCCTTCCCTCTCGCTGTCAAATAAATAAATAAAATATTTAAAGAAAAATAAATTTTAAAAAATTACATAATTTTCCTAGCATATACCCTGTTTCAGAATCTATAGTAAAACACAGAAGTAGATTTGAATGAATGGGAAGAAATACCATGTTGACTAGTCAAATTTAACATTAAAACGTCAGTTCTCCCCAAGTCGGTTTATGAAGTGAATGTAATCCCTTTAAAAATACCAGTAGGACTTTTCTCCCTGGAACTAGACAATCTGATCTCTAATTCAATTGGAAAAATAAATATGAGTAACCAGGAAAATTGGAAAGAAGAGCAGTGGAGAGGAAGGGGCTTATAAAGGTGTCGGGACAGCTCAGCCATTTGGCAAATCATACCCTACTTTGCACACCAAGAAAAAGCCCCAGCAGATTGACTTAGGAATACAAATGACCAATAAACTACATGAAAAGATGTCCAGGGGCGCCTGGGTGGCTCAGTCGTTAAGTGTCTGCCTTCGGCTCGGGTCACGATCCCGGGGTCCTGAGATCAAGCCCCACGTCAGCGGGAAGCCTGCTTCTCCCTCTCCCACTCCCCCTGCTTGTGTTCTCTCTCTCGCTGTCTCTCTCTGTCAAATAAAATAACATCTTTAAAAAAAAAAAAATGTCCAGCCCTACTCATAATTAGAAATGCAGATTAAACTTATACTAAGTTACCATCTTATTTCATCTATCAGATTTCTAGAAATCAGAAACTTAACACATTGGTAGTGAAATTGTTGGGAGACAGGTATAATACTGGTAGACATGCAGACTGATACACTCCCTATATATGGGAATCTAATATTAAAGATGAATTTAACTTTGATCCAGCAGTCCCACTTCAGAGAATCTATCCTACAGATAACAGCACACATTCAAAATAATATGCAAATGAGGTTACTCATTGTTGTATTGTTTGTGAAAGCACAAGGTTGAAGACAATCCAAGTGTCTCTGCAGGGGACTAGTTGGATATGATGTGTCCACACAGCATACCATGGTAATCGCCATGCACTGGAATATAATGATCAAAATAAAGTAAGTTATATAAGAAGAAGGGAGAAAGGAAAATCTATCATCTAGAGAAACAGTGGAAGAAAAAAAAGAAACTAATAAAAACTGGTACCTATCAGGGCGATGAGTAGAATGGATGGGGACAGGGACTGGAGTAAGACTTCTTAGCATATACCTTTCCATATTTAGATTTTTGAACCATATGAACCATATATTAGCTACTAAAATTTTTTTAATCTTAAAAATTAGTACACTGGGGCACCTGGGTGGCTCATTCAGTTGAGCATCCAATTCTTGATTTCAGCTCAGGTCATGATCTCAGGGTTGTAAGATCAAGCCCCACGTTGGGCTCCGCACTAGGCATGGAGCCTGCTTGGGATTCTCCCTCTCCCTCTGTCCCTTCCCCTCCCAACCCCCCCAACCCTGCTCATGCTCTCTCACACACGTGCGTTCTCTCAGATAAATGAATAAAATCTTGAAAAACAAAATAGGGAAACCTGCTATCACTATTAAAATCATTAACTGGATAAAGCAAAAAGATAAGAAGAATAAATATTGGGGTGCCTGAGTGGCACATTCGGGTTAAGCATCTGCCCTCGGCTCAGGTCATGGTCCCGGCATCCAGGGATGGAGCCCCACGTTAGGCTCCCTGGCAGGGAGCCTGCTTTGCCCTGTCATGCCCGCTTGTGCTCTCTCTTGTTATCTCTGTCTCTCAAATAAATAAAATCTTTAAAAAGAAGAAAAAATATTGGGAAGGGACGGAACCAAAATATGGTTTGTACTTAGAAAATCTAAAAGGATCAACAAAAACATCTTTAATAGTTTTAAAGTAGGTAGATAGGGAATGTTTAACAATAGCATTCTTAAAGTAACACAAAATGATGGAAGCTGTCATTCAGAATGGCTATAAAATAGTTAACCACAGGGGCTCCTGGGTGGCTCAGTCATTAGGCGTCTGCCTTCAGCTCAGGTCATGATCCCAGGGTCCTGGGATCCAGCCCTGTGTTGGGCTTCCTGCTCAGCAGGAAGCCTGCTTCTCTTCTCTCCTGATTCCCCTGCTTTGTGTTTCCTCTATAGCTGTCTCTCTCTGTCAAATAAATAAATATATAAAATCTTAAAAAAAAAAAGTTAAGTGTAAATATAAGTTATAAAGGAATGGCTAGAAAATAGAAAATTTGTCAGATTTTGATACTTTTTTATGGTTAATTTGTGGAGTTACAGAGAAAGATTTCAGCTAAATATTTACATCAGTAGTGATTGACACAGATTGATTTGCAATATGTAAAATTTATTTAAATTTATAAAAATCTCAGCCCAATAAATTACTAGTTTGTAATAACAAAGTACAAAAAAAACTAAAATGAGAAAACATTTCATACCCATTAAATGTTTTTAAGTTCAATCTAATGCTGGCAAGATTAGGTAAAATTGGTAAAATTGATACCCACATGTTGATGGTTATATTAAAATTGGTAAGCTTCTTTTGAAAGAAGTGTGGCAATCTCTGTCAAGAGCTGTGATAATTATTGCCGTTTGCTTTGACCCAGCATTTCATTACCTAAGGGAGTGAATGAAAAAGAAAACGCCTTTTGGTGTGAAACTGCAAAGTCCAGCAAAGATGCATATTCCAGCTGTGATTTGCCACATACTGAAGTGGTCGATTTAACCCTTTATTTTCAGCTAGTTGCCCAGAGTTTTGGGGGTCCCTTGTCACCCACCTTTTCACGGCGTGCTTTTTTTTTTTACTTTGTTACCTAGTCTTTATAATGTTATTTTACACAGACTTCTTTTGGAGGTATAAATACAGAACAGTCTACAAATCATAAGTGTTCCCCTCCAATTTCCACAAAATGTACACATTTGTCTAACCACCACTCAAATTGACTATTCCTTGCATCCCAGAAGTCCATCTTGTGCCCACTGCCCAATTACTACTCCCGAAGCTTCCTCCCCTAAAAATACCACATTGTTTTCTACCATAATTTATAGTTTTATTATTTGTGGTAATCACTGTAATGCCCAAATAATCACCCACTGAGTGAATGTGATATGCCTTCATTATTTTTGGTCATTTGAATTGTTGCCAGTTTTTCAGTATATAGGACTATACAGTATAGGACACTATATGGTATGATCTAATCGTATAATACCGTAATATTTAGTGTAGTGAAAATCTAGAAATAACTCATCTTACTGTTCACTTACTAGCCTCCTATAAAGAGTATGAGTGGTACCCTTTTTAGTATTTATGTCCTTCATCCCTTGATCCTTAGCTCACTGCTCTACACAGAATATAATAAGATCAATATGCACTTTTTGAGTAATTAGTGCCTATTCAGAAAGCAAACATAGGACATCTGTAGTCCTACTCATTTCATTAAAAAAAAAAAGACTGTGTGCTCACACTGCATAGAAAGATTTATCAGTCATATATTCCACCCACAGTAAGAGTGGAAAAGGAGTGTTGATAATGATTATCTGCTGGTCCTCAGATTTCTGACACTCAAGATTATTGTTTGATGAGAAATCTAACTTGTTCTTTCCTGCCTGGTGTCATATCCCTCAAAAGTAGCTAAATTCTCTTTGTTTCCATAGTTAATGACGTTAATCCTGAGAGTGAAGATCTTCAGAAGGAAACTGTAGAGAATGAAGATCATAGAGAAGGGACTTCAGATTGTGATGAAGCAGATTTTTCTGTGGTCTCTGAGGAATCACCAGATTGCCATAAAGAAAGACTAAATACATCTATTCCCAAGCAAAGGAAAATGAGAAATCTTCTAGTTACCATTGAAAATGATACTCCACTAGAGGAACTCTCAAAATATGTGGATATCAATGTGATTGCACTTAGCCGAAATCGGAGAACAAGAAGATGGTATACTTGTCCTCTGTGTGGGAAACAGTTTAATGAAAGTTCTTACCTTATTTCCCACCAGAGGACTCACACTGGAGAAAAACCCTATGACTGTAGTCACTGTGGGAAAAGCTTCAATCATAAAACAAACCTTAATAAACATGAGCGAATCCATACAGGAGAGAAACCTTATTCATGTTCTCAATGTGGGAAAAACTTTCGTCAAAACTCTCATCGGAGTCGCCATGAAGGAATCCATATAAGGGAGAAGATATTTAAGTGTCCAGAATGTGGGAAAACCTTCCCAGAGAACAAAGAATTTGTGCTTCATCTGCAGAGTCATGAGGCTGAAAGGCCATATAGTTGCAAAAAATGTGGGAGAAGATTTGGTCGGCTGTCCAACTGTACCCGGCATGAAAAAACCCACTCAGCATGTAAGACCCGAAAGCAGAAATGGGATCAAGAAAGGTCTGATGATCCTGCCTCAACCTGAAATGTTTCATAAGGAATTCTGAATTCCCAGGCTGTTTGAAAATATACAGATATGTGAAAACCTCATTATAGCCAAAATTGGATAAATACCCATCTTGGCTAAAACCTCAAATTTTTAGAAAATTCATAGGGAAGAAAACATCCTCAAGGGCTATACCTCAGTTAGCATACAGGATTAAGGAGCTTTCTTTTGTGAACTTATACAACAGTGTAGAGGCCGCAGATCCCTTTCCCAAAATGGCTCTGAATATGAGTCAGAGGCCACTTACCTGCAAGGTGAACAGAGTGACTCAATGTATACGGAAAGCATATCCATTTTTCCCCACATAGGAAATCACACTTGAGACAAAAAAATAATGCGAAGGTCCTTATCTGGAACTGTGTTCCCCTGAAAGAACCAAACTACTGATTTGTTAAGCCAATAGCTTCTGTTAGCAATTCACATAACCTTCTAAGAATACCCTGTTAAAGCCTGAGTGTTGAAAGGGATTGTTTACTCTGGAATATGGGAAAATACAGCGATTGAATGTCAAAGACTTACTCTGTCATTTTTATGTGATCTAAACAATTGATCTCAGTAACATTTGCATTTTGTAGTGAAAAGTGACTTTTACAGGAATACTTTTCACAACATACTTTTAAAGTGTCTACTGTTCTTACTGTATTTTGTCCAGCTATTGCTTAGACAGCATTCTCATGCCTTTCCATTGCCAAAAGAAGTTTGGATCGCTCAGGCCCAGCCACCCAGCCCCATTACTGGAAAAGCTCTTCAGAAATGTTGTCCCTCTGATGAGCCAAGAAGAAAACCTGCCCATAAAAGAAATCCAAGAGCCTGAAGAGGAAGACGAAGACATTTCCTTAGACCCATGACTGGTCAATAACCTTACCATGTGCTTAATTCCCCTCCAAGCAGTCATCAGACCCTTGGCAATGGGTGGTCACTACCTCACAAGCAAAGTGTTTTATTTTTAGCATTTGTCTCCAGTGGCTAGCTCACATTGCCCCTCATGGAGACAAGATTCCAGAGTCTTCATCGTAGTGGATATTTGTTCTCTTTCGCCTGATACCCAGACTTTTCCTGACTCGTCTTCCCAGAGGCAAGGCCAGCGGTGCCTTCACGGGACCGATCCTGTGGTGTGTTATTTTAAAGATTCCTGATCAGTTTTTGCTTTTCTTTTAGGTTTCCTAAGGTTTTACATTGGTATTTTGATTGAAATAGGTTAATCCTATAAACTATTTGAGAAAACATGTTAGCTTTATAAATTTTGTTTCCCATCCAGAAACATGCCTTTCCATTTATTAAAGTATTATATTCCTGAGTAAATTTTTCTAATTTTCTTCATGTAAATTCTATACAATTTTGTTATTGTAAATAGTTTTTTCGTTGTATTTTTCTAGTTGATTATTGTTCTTACATAGGAGTTATTTTTAATTATATATTTGTGAAACTAGCCACCTCACTGAATGTTGTTAATTTTCAGTAATTTCTCAGTTTCTCAGTTTGTGGTTCAAAATTATACCATCCACAAATAATAGTTTTGTTCTTTTTCATTTTTTAAACATGTAGTTCTAAGCTTTGTTTTGGTCCAAAGCATACTAAAAAAAGGACCTTTGATGGTACAGTTCAGTCCTGAGTCCTAATTCAAACACTTAAAGGCGACACATAAAAACTGTCCTTTATCAACTTTGTATTTTGAGCCTACAGTACCCTTTAAAAACCAGGGACAAAACTGGCTGCCAGCAATGTTAAATTCTCTTATTTCTTGAGAAGACTGGCTGGGGTCTGCCTGATTATCACACCTAGAAAACAAAGGCTAATTGGCTGCCAGGCAGTGACTGGGGAGGGTGGGGTCCATGGGGCAAGACTGTTCTGTCTTCTATGAAAGGGTCTGACTACACAGTCCTCAAGGCCTTTTGGTGTGTGATACTCCCACGACGTAAACCCCCTCCCCACACCAGGAGGGGCCCTCAGTGCCCTGGGCTGTGGTGCAGATGAGGACCTGTGCAAAGTCGGTAACTACTGTCCCCAGAGGCTGGGGCCTGGGCTGCCTGACTTCCCTGCACCTACCCCCTGGACCCCAGAGGGTCTGGAACAGAATGTTCCTCACTCCTGCCCTTGAGCTCAGAGCAGGATGCCCAGGGTCAGCATCCCCAAACAGGAGTACACTGGGAAGGTGTTAGATGAGAAAGTGCTCAATAAGGAGCTGACAACCAGTTAATGAAAAACAGTAAGCACACAACAATGAATGGTTTTCCAATAGAGCAGCAAGGGTCAGAACATCTGACGGACCAGATATCTGATTCCAGTAGCAACTACAAATTGAAGGCATGCATCCCCTAAAGATGCAGCACAAGGCCCTGGGCTGTAAAAGGAAGCCACGTATCCATGGAATTTCTTAGGGTGGGAGGTGGGGGAGAGGGGAGATAGAAATTCACTAAAAAATACATATGCAGCTCCATCTTGACAAGTGCTAGGAAGCAAAGGATTCTAGAAGAGTGTTACAGGTGGATTTTCCCGAGAGGACTCTGGGGCAGTGGCCTTTAAACTGAGACCGGATGGATGAGATAGCAGAGGAAGGGGGCAGCAAGGGGATATTCCAATAAGAATACATGAACAGACAATCTTTAGGTAACCTTCAATGGCTACAAGAAGTATGAAAGAATCTTCAGGCTTACTAGTAATCTAAGAATTATAAAATTGAAGAACAAAAGGTCATCTTAGGTGTATTAAACAAGCAGCATGCGTGTGTATATGTTCAGCTTGGCAAAAGGGGAATATTAGCATTCATCTATTGTGACAATGTTAAAAATTACTACGTGTCCCATCAATTTTTTTCTCAATACAAGGAAAAATAGAATACTAAAACACAACCTAAATGAATAAATATGTATAATATATAGCTAATCAAAAACAGTGCTTTTAGTTGGCTGGGTGGGTCTCATCCTCTCCATTCTCTTTTAAAAAGATTTTATTTATTTGAGAGAGATGGGGGGGAGGGAGGGGCAGACTCCCCACTGAGCAGAGAGCCTGATGCGGGACTCAATCCCAGGACCCCGGGATCACAAACTGAGCCGAAGGCAGATGCCAAAGCAACTGAACCACTCAGGCGCCCCTCTTTCCATTCTCACTTGGGCCCACTCCAGTTTCACCTTCAATTCCAACACTTCACTGAAGATTTATAGAATATTTCACCCAATACCAGCAGAACCCACATTCTTCTCAAGTGCATGTGAAACATCACCAAGATGGACCACATCTGGGCCATGAAGCACACTTTAGCAAATTTTAAAAAATAGAAATCATACAGAGTATGCTCTTAGATCACAGTGAAACTAAACTAGAAATAAATACAGATAACTGGAAAATACCAAAATATTTGTGGAAATTTAACAACACACTTCTAAATAACAGGTCAAAGAATAAATCTCAAGAAATTAAAAAATAGGGCTCTCCCACTCCCCCCTGCTTGTGTTCCCTCTCTCACTGTGTCTGTCTCTGTCAAATAAATAAATAAAATCTTTAAAAAAAAAAGAAACCACTAAAAAAATTAAAAAATATTTTGACCTAAATGAAAATGGAAATACAACTTACCAAAACTTGTAGGATGCAGTGAAAGCAATGCTTGGAGGGAAATTTTTAGCACTGGATGCATATATTAGAAAAGAAAGATCTAAAATCAATAATCTAAGTTTCTACCTTGAGATCTACAAAAGAACAGGAAATTAAATCCAAAGTGAACAGAAGAAAATCCATAAAAAAATAGAAATTGATGAAATTAAGAACAGAAAGTCAATAGAGAAAACCAACAAAATCAAAAGCTGATTCTTTGAAAAGTTCAATACAATTGATAAACCCTTAGCCAAGCTAACAACAGAGAAATGGCACAAATACTACTGCCAGGAATGAAAAAGGGGTCATCAGTATGAATCCTTTGGACATGAAAAGGACACTAAAGGAATATTATTGTGAAAATAAGGGAAACTTTATTTTTTTCTTAAGTAGGCTCCACATCCAGCATGGAGCCCAACACAGGGCTTGAACTCAGGACCCTGAGATCAAGACCTGAGTTGAGATCAAGAGTCTAACACTCAAATGACTACACCACCCACGCACCCCAGGAAACTTCACTTTAAATGGAGTAGGGAGGCCAGAAGAAGGAGCGCTCACACCCTACCACTCTTCATCAATTACAGACCCAACAGGAAGAGAAGCTTTTTGAGTAGATACTACTTGACTACCTCAGCAAGAGAAAGAAAAGTTTTCTCCTTGCCCAGCAAGAACCCAGACAATGACAGTCACAACTCAGTCAATGAGGAGGCACTACACTTTGGAACTCCCAGTTAACTCCAGTGGACTTTTTCCTTAGAACAGCCCCTCCCAACTCCCTGCCTTTCTCTGTAAAAGAGCAGTCCTCTACTTCGTTTTCAGGGATTGCCTATGGTTTTGCCACTGCTAGCATGTCCCAAATTACAATTCTCTCCTATTCCCAAATAAACCCATTTTTGCTAGTAAAATAACTGAGTTTTACTTTTAATGTTAACATTATGAATATCTCTATGCCCATAAATTTTATATTAATAAAAGGATAAAACAGAAATAGATAACAATTATAAACATATATGCATCTAACAAGAGAGCACCAAAATACAAGAAACAAAAGCTGGTGCTTTCTTTCAAAATTTCAAGGAACAGGTACTTTTTATCTTACTAAGAATTCTTGGATATATAGACAAAATTGAAATGTTACTATTTATTCCATTAGGCAAGCATATCAATACACAAATATGACAAATATAAAAATCACATGTTAAACTCAGAAACATCCTCTGATTCTGAATTCTCTCAGTTTTATACAAGATGTCATTTTACCTCTCTCTCTGAAATCAAGGGAAACTACACTATCTCCTCTTTGTTCCTCAAAATCCAGAGCATCCTGTTCAGTGATGTTTTAACCAGTTTCGTATGTTGGTCAGATTTTTATGTTCTGCAATCATTTTCAAAATAAATTTAGTTATACTTTTATTTTTTTAAGATGTTATTTATTTATCTGAGAGAGAGAGAATGAGAGAGAGAACATGAGAGGGGGGAGGGTCAGAGGCAGAAGCAGATTCCCCACTGAGCAGGGAGCCCGATACGGGGCTTGATCCCGGGACTCCAGGGTCATGACCTGAGCCGAAGGCAGTCACTTAACCAACTGAGCCACCCAGGCGTCCCTAGTTATACTTTTAAATAGTATATTTCCCTCATTTTTTTTTAAGATTTTATTTATTTGTCAGAGAGAGAGGGAGAGAGAGACAGAGAGAGCACAAGCAGGGGGAAGGCAGAGGGAGAAGCAGGCTCCCCCACTGAGCAAGGAGCCCAGTGCGGGACTCGATCCCAGGACACTCGGCGAAGGAAGCCGCTTAACCGACTGAGCCACTCAGGCACCCCTCCCTTATGTTTTATTTTAGAAACAATTACTAGGCAGCATATTTTCCTGGAGCAACTTGATAGAAATATATAAGTACAGTAAAATAAAATTGTGGAGACAATATAGTAATTTAGAAAAGCTTTATTACAAAATTATAGCAGAAAATCAGGATATAAATTAGTAACTACATAAAATATCTCTGCACTGACATAAATTGAAGGCAGGGTGGAAAAAAAGATGCAGTTGATTGACATGGCTGAGATTCTGGAAGATATTTCTTGTTTAACTTACCCATATTCCTGCTGTAATGCTGTGTGACACAGAAGGCTCAGGTAAGAAGATAAAAAATAATTAGCTTGAATGCACGGCAAAATTAGGGCTTCTTGGAGCCCTAAATGAACCCTTCCCTTTCCTGCCAGTCTGGCTCTCCAGTAAGATGTCTTCCTATCTCTACGTCTCTGTTGTGAGAAAAAGAAATCAGCGCTGACATACAGGAGATTTCCTGGCATTCACAGCTAGTGTTGGTGCTCTCCCGATGGACACAGACACTATCAGTACCACACAAGGTCATTCTGTGACTGTTATGGCGCAAAACAAAAAGAGACTACTCTGTAATCATGTCTGAACACAAAAACGTGAACACTGTCCAACCCACAAAAATGACCAAACTCCTCCCCCCTATGCTGGCTGATATGAGTCACCGCTAATTCTTTGCCAATCATAGCTTTGGCCTTAGTCTAGTCTTCCCTCCTCCTAATTTTTTTTTTTTTTTGAGAGAGAGAGAGTGTGTGGCAGGGTGGGGGGGCGTTGCAAAGGGAGAGAGAATCTCAAGCAGACTCTCTATGGAGCGCAGAGGCCAATGCAGGGTTCAATCTCACAACCTTGAGATCACGACCTGAGTGGAAATCAAGTCGGATGCTTAACCAAC